TGTATTAAATAAATCTGAATATATAACTTGCAGATACTATAAAGTTCAGTGTTCCTTATTTAAGCTCTTTCTTTAATAATACCATAATATAGTATTTTAAAAAATCAATAATCCTTTTCTATCCACATGCATGCTGATTAGATAAAGATAATACTGATTAGAAAACAAAGAAATTTGAGGCTTTTAACTAACTGAGAAAAGACTACCAAGTTGAGTGAGTTAGGGAGACAAATGTAAGATTTAATAGATGGTGTATAACAATTTTCAGATCATAAAATCTGATTTCAATTATTTTTAAGAGTTTGGTTATTCTTCTAGTATTCAAGGATGTTCTGGTCAATTATAAATGTTCCTGACTTAATGCACAATTTTAGAAACGTTTCATCAATTTTCCAGCTCAGATTTTCTCTCTTAGACAATTCTCCGGGCTTTACCCCTTCCCAGTGCCTCTGTCCTCCTGGCACTCACTTTTAATTCCTCTTCTAATCCATCCATGATGGTAACTACTGCTTTTTCAGTTGCATACATGAGATTGTGAGGAAAATGCTATAAACTATTAACGGGACCTTTTATCTTTAAATAAAAATTTACTGTTTAAACAGTTTGCATTTTTGATAATATTACAGTAATTAAAGTTTAAATGAACTGATTAGCTTCAGGTCATAAAACCGAAGTATTTAGCCCTGAATTTTCAAATCTGCCTTACTTGAATTGTTGTTAAATCAATGCCAGTCTTTGCTCTAATTATCTTCTGACAGTATCATATTGGATGGCTTCATTGAATATCCATAAGAATAACAGTATGAGAGATGAAGAAAAGATTTTTTAAAAAGAGATAAAATGGAAATAAATGCCCATTATTAACAGTGCAACTTAGACTTGTGGTCCACTAGAATAGGGTTATTTTAAAAAAAAAAGGCTAGTGGCTTTTTAATGGATTTTTAAAATGACTGATTATTGTGACTAAATGTTATTTTAAGCACATTCTTGAATATAATGTTAGTACAAATAAAAAGATTTTGTTAAACACATAATGACTCTCTTAAGAGCATTGCAAATTGATGGCAAACTAAGCAACTTCTCAAAATCAAATTATGTATGCTTTGTGTATAAGTATGTGTTTTATACATAATAATAATTTCAATAGCCCTAATAACATTTCACAAAAAAACACATAATCCATCAGCCAGATGGAACACAATGGTTACCTCTATATGTAACAAAATAGTGTTTACTTAACCTACAAAACCAACTTTATCTCTAATTTTATTTTTACCATTGATATAATTCTCTAAATTTTAGAAATGTAAACTGTTATTATTATTGAAAGTTTCAGAAGTACAATCTTAATGTCAACACAATCTAAAAAGTAGATACATAAGGAGAGAAAAGGAATAAATTTATTGTTTGAATTACTGTAATGTACAGTCTTTGATTTTATTCTTGATGTACTCCAAGCAGGTGACACTGAGGAGAAAACATTTAAGAATCATAAAGTTCCAAAAATAAGTGAAAAGGACCTCCAAGACATAACATTTTACTGTGTTGAGTTTTAAAAGAATTTAGAGAAAACAGCTGACAATATTTCTCTGAATTCTGGCTGGTTCTAGTTTATTTCTGCTGTGGATTGTACACTTTTGCATTAAAAAAATCAATGTCGTGTAAAGAAAGGTAACATGAGCAAACAAACTTGAGGTGGCACAGTTATATGAAAAAAGGAGTCATGTGGTGAGCAAGGAACAGATAATGCCATGTGAAATAAAACAAAAGCAACAAACAACAGTAACAGAAGTTGGAAAAGCAAAGATAGACTTGATAAAAATATGTAATTCTATATTAAAAAATTCTTTGAGTTGTATAAAAATCCATTGTGTATACTGTTTGTTGAGAAGATGTCTTTATAAAGCTCTGATGGAAACATGATCCATTTATTTTAGCTTCTCAAGTAAACACCAATGGCTCAGTAATGGTTCTCTTTTCAATACCTGCTTTTTCAATGAACAAAACAGCACTGTATATATGTTGGGTTGAATGAATTCCCAAAGGATAGAAGTTAAACATTTTTTCCATGTGTTCTAAAAGATTCTCTGGGGACAATTTATTTAAAATATACAAACAAGGTACTAAAAGACTTTATGACTGCCTGCGAAAGAATGTTAATGAAATTTCCCCTATTCTTTTCTTTCTCTTTTCCATCTATCCGCCCCTTTCTCTATATCTGTTCTGTTCCTCTTTGTGCTGAGAAAAATCATAATTGCAAAACTGACCTATTATTAAGGCTTGTTTTAAATCAGTGCCTGGAAAATAAATTAGCCCCTATTCCCACATAGTAATAATGTCAGTAAATGAGGGTTTCCAGTTATGGTGCAGGAAATTAAAGCAATGATGGCCAAAGCTCTAACAAAATCACAAGAGACTATGTATTATTGATTCTAAGAAAAGAGATTTCTCTATCTGGAAAATGACATATGTCTCAAAATAAATGACTAAAACGCAAAGCGAATAAGTTGAGTTAGTTCAGTATCAGGAAAATGTGCAAATACCTGAGGAGAAAAAATTAATATAATACAAAAGTGCAAATCAAAACTTTATGACAGCAAAACTGAACTACTTAAATGAAATAGTACAAGGTAACAAATAACTATCACTAAGCTTAATTTCTTAGTAGGAAAATGTATTAATCAAAATGCAAAATCCTATGATCTAGATGAAATGACTGCTAAAGGATTTCTTTTTCGGTTGATGAAAATATTATAAAATTAGACTGCAGTGATGAGTGTATAACACTGTAAACATCATAAAAACAATTAAGTGCATACTTTACAAGAATGAAACATATGGTCTGACAATTATATAACTAAAGGTGTTATTTACACAAAAACCTATGATCACTCCAATGCCCATTCCCTAAGATGTCTTTAAGGGCTTCAGATAATGTATGTTTCTAATCTTAGTTTGTTCCATATTTGTCACTGGGATCCATAAAGGAAACCTTAGATTTGACTGCAATTCACAAAGGTTAGGTTAAAAGATAGTTGTTATTAGTTACACTTTGACAAATGGCTTTCTATAGCCTATACGCAAGAACAAATCTTAAAAGGAATTAGGAGATCTTCTTTAATTGAATGCTTTTAAAATGGCAACACATATGCTATTTTAACTATGCTCTTAGTAACTGTGGCATCCTCTTTTTTTTGGTCCCTTTTTATGAATCCTCACTTCTGACAAGCAAACCGCTTCACTGCTGGCCTGTTCAGACTATTGATTGCTGGTGGAAAGTCATGAAATTTGGCTTGTTAAATATTATACAAGTTGAAGTGATCTAGCCTCATCTGAGCCTTCACTGCTGCTTGGAAATCTTTTTGTTAATGTCTAATTAGCCCCTTAACACGTTTTCCATTGTCTTCATTTCAAAGCTTTCAAATCTCCTGTTCTCTCCATGTGACCTCACCTATTCACTCAGCAGAAGTCAGCATCTTTTACTTGATGGAAAGGTTCCTCTGCTTCAAAGTTTACCTTATCTGTCCTTTCCTTCACACTTACCTCAGAAGAGAAAGGCCGTTTTGCCATTTCAATATATATATATCCTAGTTTATTTGAAATAAATCTGACTTGCTGACTTGGTTTATCCTACATCTGCTACCATCTAGCACTGCAACCATGGGCAATGCAATTTATTTATCTGGTCCTTAATTTTCTCATCTGTAAAGTTAATGCCACGAACTTGGTGAAAGTACTAAAGCCACTTTGAGTACTCAATCAAGGTTTTACTAGTCTTGTGTTTAGTCTTATGTCTTTCTGCCCCCAGGGCTGTTGCCTTTCATTAAGCCCGTATATCTTGAATGCAAATGAGGCATAAGGTATTTTCTCTCTATTAATCTCCTCCTATCAACTCAATTCTAGACATGCTTAAGACTTTAATCTTTTAAAATCCTCCTTCATTGTCATTATCACATAAGTTGATATTTTCAATAGTTTTCAATCAACTGACTTCAGGGCATAGATAATACTTGAAGATGCTACTTTCTTACTAATAACTTATCTCTTACCACCTTCCAATTTGGCTTCTGCTTTCAGTACTTTATCAAAATAGATGTTGAAAAGGTCAAACGATTTTTTTCTTCAGTTCTTATCCTACTTGAATTATCTCTGGCATAAAACACCACTGATGGTGCTTTGAAACACCGTCTTGAAATTTTCTTTTCACTTTCCTTAAACCTGAATCTCATGTTTCTCTTTCTAGGCCTCTGCTTACCTATTCTCTATCTCTGTTTTTATTTTCCCTCCTTGAGCTGGGTGCTAAATGTAGGTATTAATCAGAGATCTAGTTTGCTCTTCTTTCTTATCTTCTTCTGTTGAAACTTACATTACATTCTGAGGATTCCAACTGTTATATTTATGTAGGTTTTAAAAATATTTTTATCTGAACTCCATCCCAATATGCTGGGTATCTCTATATGTATGTATCACCAATTTAAAGTTATTTTGTAAATAAATTTATCACTATATCCCAACACCCATCTAGAGGAAAAAAGGAAAACACAAGCTGTCTCTACTCCTGCAGTCTTTCTGTTAATGATATAAAAAGCTTTCCAGGGACTAGAACTAACTTGTCAGGCAGAAGAGAAGACACCAATTTCAGGGACTGCATTGTGCTCTGATAATACACAGTTTTTCACACAGTTAGTTCTTCCTTTGACAAATGTCTCAATGTCCTGAAAAATATTAAAATTGTCATCTCTTTATAATTACTCTGGGTTATGATGTAGATGTGGAAAAGTTATGCTGCTTTAAAATAGCATCATACCGAGTCTCAAGTTTTCTTTTTTCCTTTTTAAATCATAACCAAAGCACAACCATGGATTGAATTATACCCATTTGCTGCTCCAGTTCCTTCACTTATTGCTGTGAGGTTATATAAAGACCTTAGCTCCCAAGAAAACACAAAGCTTTTATTTCAACTAGATTTAAAAAGATAAGAAAGAAAACAATAAACTTACACTTTATCTGTTCCATAACTCCTGTAGTCTACTGCAGCTGACACAGCCACAATGAGAGCAGGCATCCCATAGCCGACCAGATAAAAGTATTTCCTACGTGAGTGTTCACTCTCAAAAACCTCCACCAGCATGATATAGAGTTGCACGCCCTCCAGGAACATCCAGGTGAAGGCAGCCAAGAAGAAGAAATGCAACAGGGCAGCAAAAACAGCACAGGCAATCTAGGAAAAGGAATAAATGATTCAGTCAAGTCACCATCACATGGAATATTGGTCCTAAAGTCAAATTAAACATTTACCAAGACTGCATTAAAAATAGGTCTGGAAAACAATAACTAAATGATTCTTAAAAACAGATATTAAAAACTAGCATAATTAAATATAATCTATCTTTGAAAACTGCATTTTTAACATTAACAAATGCTTATGGATGATAGCATAGCACTAGAATTAGAAAAAAATATCATTTAGGAAAAATTCTAAAAGCATCTATGAATAATTATTTCTGAGATTAGTCTAAAGATTTAAAAATACTGCTGGGTGTGGTGGATTATACTTGTAATCTCAGCACTTTGGGAGGTCATGGTAGGGGGATGGGTTGCTTGAGCCCAGGAGTTTGAGATCAGCCGGTACAACATAGTGAGAATTTGCTTCTACAAAAAATAAAAAAGTTAGGTGGATCTGGTGGTGTATGCCCGTAATCCTAGCTACTTGGGTTGCTGAAGTTGGAAAACCACTTCAGCCCAGAAGTTTGAAGCTGTGGGGAGCTGTGATCATGACACCACACTCCAGCCTGGGTGACAGAGTGAGACGTTGACTCAAAACAATTAAAATCAAGATTTTAAAAAGGATTTCAAGATATCTAACATAGTGAGTTTACTAACATGGTGAGTTTTTCGATTGTCAATGAAATAGAAACATTAAACCTAAGGAGAATAAATGCTCTTAAAATTAAGCAGTCTAGGTAATGGCAGTCTTTTATGATGAAATTATTAATTAATTGTTAGTAATTTTTCTGTTTATTTCTTTGCTGCCTTGTTTCAAAAAGTACTTAAGGTGGTACTGGAAAATTCATGCTGCACAGGTATAAAAATGAATAGGGTTAACATTAAGTGTTCAAGACGTGCTTTCTTTCTCTAATTCTTTGTTATTGTAGTAAATATAGATCTAGAGAAGCTTGGTCAAAAAAGACAGCCAGCCCTTACTTTGTACATTTTCTAAGGTACTGTGAGTTTCAACTGACAATCTACTCTTTGTCAGTTCCTGAAATTCTTACTCCTTTGTGTAGGTCCTCTTAAAAGAGATACTGACTAAAATCTACAGCTCCTACTAGAAAAAGCCAACAAACTTATACAGTTTATCAGAGTAGTATGGATTCATTGATCAGTATGATCCTTAAGACAAAGCACAGGTCAATTTTACTAAGTTAGATACAAGAAAGGAGAGATGAAATCTAACTCTGCAGGAGTAGAGAGAAATCAGGTCCTCAACACCATGTGAGGTGCAGAAGAGGATACTTCACTAGCAAGAAGGGTAAAGATGAGTGTTGCTGAGCTGCAGCCTTCTCATGCTTTTCATATCAAACATTGTTCTCTATATCATTTGTCAGAAATTAGTTTTTTGCAGCATGCAAAGTTTGATGAAGTTTTTCATACCATATGTAACATCAGGAAACACGAAGAATAATAAGATTTCTAAATGAAAAGAAATCACACAGTATTTGAATTGCAAGCTAACAAGCGAATGAGATGACATCTTAGAAAATAACACAATTTTCCTTTTCTTGTCTTTTAGAGTTAGAATTTCAACTATTAATTTTTGTTATCATAAGTCTTTATTTTTGGGAAAAGAAATGTGCACTTTGATTGCTTATTCATAGGTATGCATTTATGGGAAAAGTCGTCACATTAGTATATGATACCCAATTAAAAATATAATCATCATAATTGTACCCTTTACAGTCATTAATCATGAATGTGTAATCACAAACATGAATCCAACTGCGTTTTTATTGTAAAGCACTCCATACACATGGACATATACCAGAGAACAGCATTAAGTGAACAAACTATTATGCTTGCAAGTCTTCTAAAAGTGAAAGTTTTCTGCTCGTTTGCAGCTTTAGTCATGAGAACAAACTTCTATCATGTGCATAAATCTTAAGTAAGCTGAAATTGCCTCACAAAAACTATAAATGAGCATATAGTCTGCGTAACATATTATTTATATTTTCTGTTTGGTTTCACCAATACCTGGCTAGTACTGTTCCTTCTTTTTCTTTTCTTTCCTTTCTCCTTTTCCTCCCTTACTTGATATAACTAAATGTAGGTAGCAATAAAGAATTGGCATTTAAAATATGACCAGAACTCAAGCAAATATAAAGTGTCAAACAAAATTTGGAAAAAAGTTAATGTAAGCTAAAAATGACTTGCAGGTTGTACTATTTTTCAAAATATGTCAATTATAAAAACTATTTTAGACATGCAGATTAATACACTATCAACTGTGTGTTATAAACCAAAAAGTAACTATCTCTGTTAGAAAAGATATTCTATTAATTTTGTTGAGCTATCCTCAATATCAATTTCTGTGATTAAAAGAAATGAAGAAAAAAATAATGACAACATGCAGTTCTTTAAAAAGAAAATTTTAGCCAGGCTCGGTGGCTCAGCCTGTAATCCCGCACTTTGGGAGGCTGAGGTGAGTGGACTGCTTGAGCCCCTGGGTTCACGACCTGCCTGGGCAACTTCGCGAGACCTCATCTCTACAATAAATCAAAAATTAGCCAGGCGTGGTAGCGCACGCCTGTAGTTCCAGCTACTTGGAAGACTGAGGCCGGAAGGATTGCTGGAGCCCAGCAGGTTGAGGCTGCGGTGGCCGGGAGCGGCCACTGCACTCCAGTCTGGGCGACAGAGTGAGACTCCAAATCAAAAAAAATAAAAATAAATAAAAATAAAAAGACAATTTTATAAAACAAAATTTCTAAATAATGTATGTCTCATTCACTGCTAGTGGAAATGCAAAATGGTACAGCCACTTTGGAAGACAGTTTGGCAATTTCTTAAAAACTTAAATATACTCTTACCACATGACCATGCCATCCGGCAATTGTGCTCCCTGGTATTTACCCAAAGAAACTGAAAACTTATCTCCACACAAAAACTCCTACATAAATCTTTAGGGTAGCTTTATTCATAATTGTGAAAACTTGGAAGCAACCAAAATGTCTGTCAGAAGGTGAATGGATAAATAAACTACAGTATATCAGGCAATGGAGTATTACTCAACACTAAAAAGAAACAACTATCAAGTCCTAAAAAAAGGAGGAAACTTAATATATACTACTAATTGAAATAAGTCAATGAGAAAAAGCTACCTACTATATGATTCCAACTAAATGACATTCTGGACAAGCCAAAACTATGGAGACAGTAAAAAAAATAATAATAAAATAAATTAGTGGTTGCCACAGATTGCAGTAACAAGAGATGAATACAAAAAGCACTGAGGATTTTCAGGGCAGTGAACATATTCTGCATTATATACTCTGAGGATATGTACGTGCTATTATACATTTGTCCAAATCCATAGGAGGTATAACACCTAGAGTGAACTCTGATGTAAACTACAGAATTTGAGTGAGAATGACATGTCAATGGAGGTTCATAAGTTAACACAAATATACCATTCTAGTGTGGGATGTTGATAGTGAAGAAGACTATGGGTGTGTGGGAGAAAAGGGTATATGAGACATTTCTGTACCTTCTGTTCTATTCTGCTTTAATGCAAAAGTTGCTCTACAAAACAAAATCTATTCCTAAAAAGTACATCTTACCCATAACAGTCACTGTTTTTTTGTGTGTGTGACAATGGGATGTGAAAAATGGAAAACTGAGTAACACGTGAAAGTTAGGATCTATGTTAGATAACTGGAAGAGAGGATCCTTTCAAACAAAAATACTTTTAGTATTGGAAGTACTGAAAGGCAAGTAGTGGGAAAATGCTTCATTCATATAAAGGTCACTTACAGGTTGATCAGTTCGGTTGATCCCAATCAGGAAGAGTAGCTCTGCTACAAAGAGACTGATGCAAAGGTTCTTGTGGATGGTGTTACGGTCACTCTGGAGGCCGCGGAAAAAGCAAAATGTGAAGATGCAAATCAGGAGACAAACAAGGGACAGCAAAATTCCAACCCATGTGATCACATCCAGAAGAAGATCGTGAACTGCATCACTGTGCTGGAAAAACAAACAAAAAAAAACCATAAGTTGCACTTATGCATAAGCACTTATAAAGTTTTGAAAAGGCCTGGATTCAGAAAGCAAGAGTTTAATAATGTACAAAATATCTTCTATAACTACAATGAATAAAATAACCTCATTATTTGGGGTTTCTAGTCTATAGACAAAACATTTTATCTTTTCTCTGAGACGTACATCAGTTTGATATTCAGAGGTGCGAATAGTGTTTGCTCCTGTCTTAGCTACACATATTTTCAGAAAAAAGTAGTTGAAGCAGATCAACTTATTTCTGGCCAAAGATTTCAAGGCAAAATTTTTTGTTTTTTTATCTTATGTCCTTAGACTAGTTTTCAGACAACCCTTGCTTTAGCAATATTATTTTAAAATGTAAGCTATACACTTAGGGAAGTGGTATATCAACTAATTTTTGAATCACTTAAGGATTTTTAATAAAAAAAAAAAAAAGAATTCCTTTGTCCTATAAAACTTCTGTCAGAATTTCCAAGGTTGAGTCATATAAGTATATATTTTTATAAAGATCCCTAGTTAATTCTGATGAATAGCCACATATGTGTACCATTTATTTAGTGGAAAGATCTAAAAGAATGAGGATATTCATTGGATTTATATTCATATTGAACGGCTTAAGGAGATCAGGAAGTTTGATCCTTGAAAGGTTTTGCAATGAATAGAGCCTGTTATACAGAGACGGAAAATAAATATTCAAAATTACTATACCAAATAGCAAGCATAAAGCAGACAGTAGAGCTAAGAGACAAGAAAAAGTTCATGAAAACTTCTCTACTGAAACTGCTGCTTTGACTCAGTAAAAATAGTTCTGTGAGCTTCAAATCTGCCATGTTCCTTGGTCATCCACTATTTCATTCTATCCTTGTTCTAAGATTCAAAACTCTATTTCCATCCTATGGTAGTATCTAGCCTCCCTAGCCAGAAGATAGTCTGTGAAGCTCTAGAATTTATAGGGGCCTAACACATCATTATACAAAGATGTTGGAGCAGAGTGGAGAAATTGTCTAAGACTATCATTCTTCCTTCTTTCAAGGATTCTTGAAAAGCCTTAAATACCTAATTTCCATCAGTAGGTAAACGGATAACTAAAGATTAATTTATGCAATGATATTTTAAAGAACAATGGAAAATCAGTGAACTAACTTTACAGTTACAAACATGGATATATCACAAATACTTAGCATTAATTTTTTTTCCAAAAGCAAGTAGCAAAAGGATCTATATCATATAATATACCATTTTTGTAAAAAAAAAAAAAAAAAAAAAAATTTAAAAGTACAAATCAATGACTGATTTTTATGGATATATGCAAAAGTAGTAAAAGTATAAACATATTCATGGAAAAAATTTGAGTTGACAACAAAGAGTTGTGTTCTAACTGACACCTTTTTCAACTGTGTAGATCATACACATTAACTTTTGTTTAAAGATGGATGTTACAGCATTTAGCTGTCTTTCACACTAAGCCCAACTTAAAATATGCATAAATATCCAGGTTTTCTATTTTTATTTATTTTTTTCAAACTTCATACTTTCAAAGATGATTCTGACTGGAGAAATTCTTATAAGTGAGCCACCACACTGTAACCTGAAACATAGCATTTCTCATACTTCCAGATATGACTTCACAGTGGTTATTTGATGAAGACCTCCACTAGAACAGTCAATGAAACAGTTGTGAAATATTCCTGCATAACTCTTGATATGTGTCTCAGAAGGAGCTCAAACCATGAAAGAAAACCACATGCCATTTTGCTTTAACTTCTTTGTTCTCCAAAGGATACTACTAAAGCAGTGTTGGGTCTCTGATAGCTTAAATTACTTTTACTATTTGAGAGTGGAGAGTGGTTAGTGCTACCTGATCCCCTGAGCAGAGGGCTATTTGCTCTTCTTTGACTCAAAGAAAAGATGCTGTGATTGAGTATCAAGCACCAATGTTCAGCACAGCAGTCTTTCATAATGGAAAAAATGACAGGCATAATACCTTCTTGAATGTATCCTAAAGACCTAAAACACTAAAAAATAAAAAGAAGGAAAAAAGACAAAAAGAAAAAAAGAAAGAAACCAAAAGACTCCTACCTTTGTCTGGGGAGTTGTATTATTAAAAATATATTTACTCAGTGCCTTAGTAGGCCCTGTGAAAACCCCATGCAGAATTATTAAGAGAAGAATAGCAGATTTCAAAACATCAGTAACAAAACTGTGTAACATTCAAACACAGAACAAGAAAAGTCTAGTGACTACTTCACCTTTCAGGTACGATTGCTTAGCTAGGAATACATCAACACCAACCACCTATATGTGTACATCACTGGGAGTGCTGCACCCATCAAATGCAACTCAATACCGGAATTTTATCAGCAAGATGAAAGAGAAAGAACAATGGACATCAAATGCTAATAAGAGATGTAAACATGATGAGCCTTGTGTATAATAGTCTGCCAAAACAGAACTTTTAGGAGGCTACTGTGTGTGTGGGGAAAAGAAAAAAAAAAAACCCTTCAAGAGGACAGCAAATTAAATACACCTCTTAGGTACAGTAGTAACAATGTGAAAAAAAATCATGTATTCTTATTTCCGAGATTCCAGTGTTTGTGAACACTATATAACTTAATCAACAATAATGCAAAATATACCCATCTTATTAATATTATATCCCAGCACCGAGAACTGTGCTTGACATAAAAATGCTTTTAAAATATTTGGTTTTGTATGATTATATTCCTGCTCCTCTTAAACCAAATGTCTTAGACCTGAACTTCCTTATTTCAGCATAGCTTTAAGATCTGTTTAATCTGCACTTGAATGATAAATAAGGTAGCAAATATTTTATCACAAAACTGAGTTCCTGATCTTATTCCATCTGTCCTCGCCTCCCCCCAATCTGCTCTTCCCTCTTCTTTCCCCATTTCAGTAAATAGCAACTTCATTCTTTAAAGTATTCTAGCCAAAAAGGTAGATATCTTACTGATTTCTCACTTCTTTCATGTACAACGTGTAATCAATCAGCAAATCTTGTAGAACCCACCTTCTCTCAATCTGTCAGCTTCACATCCACTGCACCAACTAGGTTGGAGATAAGTTGTTTTTGTTTTTGTTTTTTGAGTCGGAGTCTCTGTCGTCCAAGCTGGAGTGCAGTGGCTTGATCACAACGATCATGCCTCATGGCAGCCTCAACCTCCTGGGCTCAGGTCATCTTTCTGCCTCAGCATGTCAAGTAGCTAAGACTACAGGTGCACATCATCATGCCTAGCTAATTTTTTTATTTCTTGTAGCGACAAGATCTTGCTATATTGCCTAGGCTAGTCTCCAGTTCCAACTGGGTTCAAGCAATCTGCTCTCCTTGGCCTCCCAAAGTGCTAGAATTACAGTGGTAAACCACCGTGCCCAGCCAAGTCTCCTTATTGATCTCCCTACTTTGATCCAAATCCTCCTTACTTCTATATTTAGCAGAGCTGGGAGATTCTTTTTAAACATAAGTCACAAAATATCATTCCTCTAATCAAAACCTCTAATGGCTCCCATCACAATGAAAAGAAAACCCAAAGTCTTTACAATGGCCTACACAATCCTAACATCTGCCCCCTTGTGACATCATTTTGTATTCTCTCTTCCTACAGTGAACTTCACCTCAGTTGACCTCCTGTGTTCTTTGAGTGAGTGGGGGACATTCCAACCCCAGAGTCTATGCGTCTGATGCTCCCTTGGCCTGGAATATTCTCCCAAAAACTATCTGTATGGTTTGCTTGCTACCTTCCTTTAGTTATTAATTCAAATGCCACCTTCTCACAGAAGGTTTTTCTTAGTCACCCTCTCTAAAATTGTAAACACTTTTTCTCCATCCTGACTCTCTCTATTGTTCTTCCTGCATTATTTTCTTAATGCTTACCTAAACTGTTTGTTTTATTAATTTTTATTGTTTATTTTCTGTGCCTCCCACTAGAAAAAAAGCTCCAAGAGAAAAGTTGTTTTATCTCTTCTGATCAGCAATACCGTCTCCTAGAGAAATGTCTACTATAGAGTAACTGTGCAATTAGTGTGTTTGAATAAACGAATCTCTCTTTAATCTCTCCTCTCTTCTATAATGGGTTTAGATTACAAACTGCAGGTAGTATCGTGCTGCCCATTGTATAGTCTTTAGAATTCTTTGATTCTTAAATCAACTGCTCTAAAATTTTGAGTAAAAGATGAAGAAAATTAGAGCTGGAGAATAAAGAGATTGTCATATCATATTATCTTAAGATAATATGTAATGTCAAGGTGTCAAACAATTATGAAAATGAAGGCAAAAGTATAGATGTAAAAAGAAGACTTTAGAATAACTCTTGGAATCTAAAGCCTCAGATTTAACTCTGTCACCCCAATGTAGTCATTGTTACCTTAAACAGAATAACTAACCTTTCTTGAGTATCAGAAGCTTTGTCTACATGGGGTAAAATAACTAGGGCTTCAGATTATTGTAATAAGTAATTGCCATAAAATATGAAACTAAGAAAGCAAACGTGTCTTTCCCAATTATTTTTTAAAACTCAATACCCTGCATAATGAATATTTGTATACCTGACCCTGAATTGTACTCTGAAATTTTAAAATAAAAAATTTTAATAGTTAAAAAAATTCAATACTTTCTTTTTTTTTCATGTTTAACAGCAACCTTCATTTACATAATCAAAGATCTAAATGAATGATACAGAAAAAATCAAAAAAATAAATGTGCCAATAATACATGCTAATGTTATTTTAGCCAAGGACACCAAACATTATTCCAATCAGTTAATAAATTATCTAATCTTACTTTTTAACATTTCTAGTTTAGTTTAAATTATTAACATTTGTGCTACTGATAAATTAAGGACACATAAATTCTCATAGTATCTGAGTAAATCAGACTTTAACTTTAGAATCTAAATTATACCTTCATTACTTTACAACTGCATTTATGACTTTTAAATGATAAAACA